ATCTGCTGAAGCATGGGCAAGAAAACTGACTCACCCGCTCCCACAGCCATCATTCCACTGTTGGCAAATCGCCTCCAACTAGGGCAGGACTTCCTGGCCACCCCCTCACTTCATGCTGGGATGTTTGTCTGGCTTGGTCTTGTGTGTACATCCCAGCCACCATGAGCTCATGTGTGTCAGGTGTCCCCTGCTGTGTCCAGAAAACAGTTTTATGGCAGTTATCCATGACCTCTGGTCCTTGCGATCTTTCCACCCCCTCTTCTTCCAAGATCCCTGAGCCCCGGGCGGACGGTGTGTGACCCATTTAGCGCTGAACACTCTGGCATCTTATATTCTTCCCACGTTGTCTAGTGATGACAATTGGGCTGGGTGTGGGGGCACACTTGGTGGTAAACCCAGGCAGATCTCTGTGAGTTCGAGGCCACCCTGGTCTACAGAGTGTTCCAGGACAGTCAAGGGCCCTGTTACTACTTTTAAATGTTCTTTTGTTTATGTGTTGGGAAGGGCGTGTGTGTGGGATACATACTGAGGTCAGAGGACAATTGCAAGAGTTTGTTGGTGTACTTTTTTAAACTCTTTTTTTTTTTTAAGATTTATTTATTATTTATTCAGCATTCTGCCTGCACACCAGAAGAGGGCACCAGATCTCATCGTAAAGGGTTGTGAGCCACCATGTGGTTGCTGGAAATTGAACTCAGGACCTCTAGGAAGAACAGCCAGTGCTCTTAACCTCTGAGTCATCTCTCCAGCACCTTAAAAACTCTTTTATTTATGTTTCTTTTATCTTTTTCTCCCTACTCCACCCCAATCCCTTCCCTTTTTCACCCTATCCCAACACAAGGTAGGAGAAAAAATGGGTTAGTGGGAGAGTGGATGCAGTTATTTCTTAGCTGCTTCCTGCTGATCAGGGTCTTGGGTTCTTTGGAGCCAGTCCAATCCTCATTTAAGGAGACCTCCAACTTCTTGTCTCACAACAGCAACCAGGAACAGCAAGGAAGAAGCAGGAGCAGCCTTGTTCCTTCTCTCCCTCCACTCTCTGGCATTTATTCTCTCTCCAGAGTCCTCAGATTCAAACTATCTGCAGTTGCCGAAGAGCTCCTCTCAGAGCCCGAATGAGGCAAATAGTCTGCTACTGTAGACCGTCTGAATTAGTCCCACGTCCCACACCTGGGACCAAAACAAAGACATGTCTATATCCACAGGAGTTAATTCTTCCCTTCCACCACGTAGGTTTCCAAGATGGAATGTAAGTCTTCAGGCCTTTACCCACCGAGTGTTTTCTGAGTGTTTCACCTGCATGTATGCCTGTGCAACACAAGCCTGTCTTGTGCCTGCAGAGGTCAGAGGTAAACATCAGATCCCCGGAAACTAAAATTACTGATGTTGTGAGCCAGCATGTGGTGGGTGTTCTGGGAACCAAACCCAGGTTCTCTGCAAGAACAAATGTTCTTAACCATTGAGCCACCTCTCCAAGCCTGAATATCTCTTTTGAAGTTGTGTTGGTTGGTTGGTTGGTTGGTTGGTTGGTTGGTTGGTTGGTTGGTTGGTGAGTGAGTGATGCCTGTGCGTGCATACTTATGGAGGTCAGAAGACAGTGTGAGGGATTGGTTCTCTCCTTCCACCATGTGGATGCAGGGGCATGGTGGGGTTGGGGTGGTTAAAACCATGTTGTCGGACTTGATAGCAGGGCCTTGCCCAGGCTGAGCAGACACTACCACTGAGCTACATTCCTAGCTCCCAGAGCATATTCTTTTTCTTATTTATTTGAGTGTGTGTGTGTGTGTGTGTGTGTGTGTGTGTGTGTGTGTGCGCGCGCTCACAGATGTGTTATGGTGTACATGCAGAGGCCAGTTCTCCCCTTCTGCCGTGTGAATCCTTTGGATTTAACTCAGGTTTGGCTGCAAGTGCCGCCTCACAAGCCCCATAATTGTGACCGTGATCCCAAGTCTAGCCCTGCTTTACGTTTCTTCTACTCACACTCTGATTCTTTGGAGAGCCCCAAAGCTCTGTCTCTCCTTGCCAGTGCTCCAGGATCTGGTCAGTGTTTTCCTGAGACCCTGGCTTATGGCAGACGTCCTGGAGATACTAGCCTCTCCTTATAGGCAGACATCATGAACTAAGAGGGCATCCTGCGAAGTGGGGTGACTCATCATGGGATCCCCAGATTTCCTGCTGCCACCCAGGCCCAGCCCAGCCTGGGTACGTTGGCGAGTGGGTATCTGATGTGTAGGCATGAATATTTGTGTGTTTCAGAGCCCAGCCAAGCATGGCCCTGAAACCTTTCTTCCTTAGGTTTTCACATACTAAGCAAACAATCCATAGCACCTAATTTGTCCCTAGATACTACAGAACTGAGCTTCTCCTTATCTTGGGGCAACGGAACCAATCAAAGATAAGATATGGAAGTATAAGCCTATAGATAGCAAGATGGCTCAGTGGGTAAAGGTCAGGCTTGCTATCAAGCCTGACTACCTGAGTTTGAGCCCCAGGGGACAGAAAGAACTCCCACAAGGTGCACACACACACACACACACACACAAGAAGCACCATACAGAAAAAAAAGGGTTAAAGACAAAAAGAGAGGGCAGGCCTGCAGCTTGGGCTATGTGAGGTGAAGCCAGATCTGATGGTGCACATCAATAATTCTAGCTACTGAGGAGGCTGACGCAGGAAAATTGACAGTTCAAGGTCTGCCTCGGCTACAGAATGAGTTCAAGTGATGCCTGGTCAACTCAGTGAAGTCCTATCTCAAAATGAGAGAGAGAGAGAACATTGGTGAGATGATTTAGTTAGTGAAATTCACAAAATCATAAATACCTAAGTTCAGACCCTCAGCACCACTGTAGAAACCAAATATGATGGCTCATGTCATAATTCAAAAACTAGACCCAGGCAGATCCCTGGAGCTCCGTTCACTGGTCAGCCAATGTCACTGAATGCACAAGTTCTAAGTGTATTGAGAGATCCTGTCTCAACAAGTAATGTGAGAGGAACTGAGGACTAATCCATGCCAACCTATGGCCTCACGTGCAGGAGCACACATAGGCACACACATGCACACACATGCCCACACCCATAGGAGCACACACATACAGAATGAAACACACACGCACTTCTTTTGAGAGGAATTCTCATGATGGAACCCTGGCTGGCCTGGCACTCACCACGGAGAGCCGAGTGCAGTGTTAGTGCCAGTGCCCCAACACCTAACTAAAAATCATTTTCCGTTAAAAGGCCTGAGAACGTGGCTCAGCGGTAGATCACTGGCTTAGCGTATACAAGGCACCAAGTTCCTGGTGCTGACTGAAAGAGAGAAAGATGGAGAAAAGGAGAGAGGGGTCGAGGGAGGAAGAGAGGGAGAGATAAACTAAGTGCATACCAGTAATTCTAGAACTCAAATGTTTTATGCGGGAAGATTGCCATGAGTTTGAGACCAACTTGGGCTATGTGCTCTGTAGCAAGACCCTATCTCAAGAAACCAAGAAGGGCCAGGGGCAGTAGTGCATGCCTTTAATTCCAGAACTTAGTGGGCAAAGCCAAGCAGATCTCTATAAGTTTGAGGCCAGTGTAGTCTAATGGGAAGTTCCAGTACAGGCTATGGAAGTTCTAGTCAGGGCTATGTAGTAAGACCTTGTCTCAGGCAATATCCAAAATTTGGGCAGATTCAGGAAATTTTATGAAATAAGGGGGAGATAGAAAGACCTGGAGAGGACAGGAGCTCCACAAGGAGAGCAACAGAACCAGAAAATTTGAACACAGGGGTCTTTCCAGAGACTCATACTCCAACCAAGTACCATGCATGGAGATAACCTAGAACCCCTGCACAGATGTAGTCCATGGCAGTTCAGTCCCCAAGTGTGTTCCCTAGTAAGGGGAACAGGGACTGTCTCTAACAAGAACTCAGTGGCTGGCTCTTTGATCACCTCCCCCTAATCACCTTACCAAGCCCCAGAGGAAGATAATGCAGCCAGTCCTGATGAGACCTGATAGGCTAGGGTCAGAAGGAAGGGAAGGAGGACCTTTCCTATCAGTGGACTTGGGGAGAGGCATGGAAGGAGATGAGGGAGCGGGGCAGAGTTGGGAGGGGACAGGGGAAGGGGCTACAGCTGGGATGCAAAGTGAATAAACTGTAATTAATAAAAAAATAAATAAATTTAAAAAAAACAAAAAAGGAAGAGAGGGGAGAAAGGAAATGTTGACCTTTGACCTTCACACAAGAGTGCATGGACTGCATATACCAATGTGTATACAACACACACATAAATAAAAATAACTAACTTTTAAAGAAATCATACTGTTTCTGTCTTGATACAAAGTGGATTGGGGTTTAGCCCACAGGTTAGCACTTGCCTGACCTGTGAGACACTGGGTCCCACCCACAGGAAAGCAAATAGTAGCTTTGATATGAGTCCAAGAGACATCGGAATGCAGACTGTGGACTCTGATGTGTAAATACAGGGCCATTGATTCTCACTACCTTGTCTCTCCGATATAGGATGTTGACAACAGAAGATCTGCAGTGTGGGAGCAGGCAATTATGGGGGGTTGCTCACAGAATTTCTATACTTTGTGCTCAGTTTGGCCATGAGTCTAAAACTTTTGGGGGAAACCAAGGCAGGAAAATCTCTAGTTTGGAGCCAGCCCGGGCTACACAGTGAGATCTTGCATCAGATGTTTTAAAAAGTAAAGTAGGTGGAGAATTCTGTAATCCCAGCCATCAGGAACCCGAGGCAGGGTTATAAATTCAAGCCAATGTGGCTGCATAGTGAGGCCCTGTTTCAGAAGCTGGTGGGGAGCTGGTGACGTACTTCAGGGGCAGAGCACTAGCCCGGAAATGCCTCAGAACCTGTCTAGTAAATAAATAACAAATTCTTTTTAAAATCAATTTATCTTGGTAACTGGGGTTGTCAACATCACCGAGGCAGAAGCCTGCCCTGAAAGAACATGCAGCTTACACACTTTGTTTTCAAGTTACATTAATGTATCTAATCACTTGCTTTGTGGCGGTCCATGCTCTGGTGGAAGTCAGAATACAACTTTGGGGAGGCTGTTCTCTCCTTCCACCGTGTGGGTTCCAGGGTTCAATGTGGTAACAGGTGCCTTAACCTGCTGATCCTTCTCACCGGCCCCAGCCTTCGTGCTTCAGCAGACAGAGCCTTCCGCTCCTAAATCTTTGGAAACCTGGGCTTGAAGGAGAATACCGCAAGAAGCAGAGCCCAGTAAGTCCCATGCCTCAGTGATCTGCTGTCTGAGCTGCTTCTGTATACCTGGCTTCGTCCTGGGTGCTCAAAGGTCACTACATAGAGAATAACTGGGGCTGAAGATGCATCCATTGGTGGAGTGATTGCCTACACGAGGGGATACTTGGATTTGATCCCCAGTACCACATAAACCAGCTGGGGTGGTGCATGCCTATAATCCTAGCATTTGGTGATGGAGGCAGAAGACAGTAAGTTCAAAGTCATCCTTGGCTACATGGGTAGTTACATAGCCTGAGCTACATGAGACCCTAAAGAGAAAGAGGAGAAGGGTTTGGGGTGGAATACAGGAAGGACATGAATAAAAATGCCTGGCAGGTGAGCAGGCCCTGGTGTGGCTCCCTGGGGAATTCCAAGTCTGGCTCAGTCTGGGCTTCCCCAACCTGGCCTGGGACTTGCCTCATGCTGAGTCCATAGCCCAGTGGGCCTCTTAGAAAGCTGTAAGGCTGGTTTGAAGGTGGAAGACCAAGAGGAAAGAAGTTTCCATACAGCCCAGCCTAGGGGAGCCGCCCCACCTGATGACAGAATAAAGGGGAGCTAGATCTAGCCTGGAATCCCAGCACCGAGGAGGAGGCAGGAGGTTCTAGGCCAATCCAGGATATGTAAGAGATTCAAGGACAGCCTGGAAGGGGAGGAAGTGAAGAGGGACAGGACCATTCTGCAGGACTCAGAGAAGGAGACCGATCCCCTACTGCAAACCTAGGTAGGTTCCCAGAATGAAACCAGAGCCTTGCTCTTTGTTTAACCAGAGGCTGGAACTAGGCTGGGAGGCAGCCTTCAAGAGCCAGGCATGACGGCTCACATCTGTAAGTCTAGCACTTAGCGCATCAAAGCAGGAATGTTGCTTTAAGTTCAAAGCCAGCCTTGGCTACAGATTAAGACCCTTTCTCTCAAGAAACAAACCACCAAAGACTGGGAAGATGGCTCCGGGGGTCAGAGAGTTTGCTGTGTAAGCATGAGAGCCTGAGTTAGAATTCCCTCCCAAATGCAGTAAACCCAGCGTTTGGAAGCAGAGATAGACAGCAGATCCTATTGCAGGCAGCCTAACCCAAACAGTGACCTCCTGGTTCAGAAAGGGACCCTGTCTCCAGGCAATAAGGTAGACAAGGATAAAGGAAAATACTGCTAGTCTCCTCTCGCCTCTGAATGGGCATAGGAGGAGGTGTGCACTCATGTGCGCACACACACAGACACGTACACTCTCAGATGTTTAAAGGTCAGGGCCAATGAGATGGCTCAGTGGGTACCGGCACCTGCCCCCAAGCCTGATGACCTGAAATTGATCACTGGCCCCACATGGCAGAAGGAGAAGACTGACTTTCACAGTCTTCTACCACGTGTGCATCATGGTACTTGGTGCATACAGAGAGAGGGAGGGAGAGCTAATAAAAGCAGAGGCGGAAGAGGAAGGCCCCCACCTCTCCAGCATTTGGGGGTGGGGTACAACACAGGAGGCGAGAGTGGCGCTAACCACGGGCTTCCTCTCTCTGCTTGCTGGAATGTACATGTGAAAGGTCCCTGGAAGGCCCACATGTTAAAGGCGGGGTGCCTAGCGTGTGGTGCCAGAGGGATGGAAGCTTTAAGACATGTGTGCTAGTGGGAGGAAGTCACTCAAAAGGACCCTGACCCTTCATTTCTGTGTTCTTGCATCTCAGCTTATGTGAGGTAAGCAGCTTTCTCCATCCTAAGTCCCTCTCTCCTCACAGGCCCAGAGCAGTCAGACCGACCAACCAAGGATTACAACTGTCGAAACTGTAAGCCAAAAGATATCTTTTTTTTCCTTAAAAATTGACTATGTCTCTGGGTGTGATGGCACGTGCCTTTAATCCTGGCACTCAGGAGGCAGAGACGAGCAGATCTTTGTGTTTGAAGGCAGCCAGGGCTACATAGCAAGCTTCAGGATAGCTGCAGCTACATGGTGAGAGCCTGTCTCAAACAAGCCTCCAGCTTGCCAAGCAGTTGAGAAGTTCTTCTACAGGTAGGCAGCAGCCACAGAGCTGCCACTTTTGAGACGGGGTGGAGTTTACTGGACTGACTTCAAAGCACAACTCCCAAGAATGGGCAGACCTTAAACTGGGTGTAGTAGAACCCACCTAAAATCCTATCACTTAGGATAGGAGTCTAAGGTCGGAGGACCCTGAGTTTGAGGCAAGCCTAGGCTACAGAAGCAACATCCTGCCTCAAAATTAGATTTAAAAAGTAGCAAGGTGTGGCACACACCTATAGTCTCAGCACCGTGGGAAGGTGGGAGGATCAGGAGCTTAACCAAGCCAGGCTACGTGAGACTCTGTCTCAACAGATAGACGGGTGGATAGACAGACAGATGGACAGGTGCAGGAGCATTGGCTCAGAGGTCAAAAGCACTTACTTGTTTGCAGTGGCCCTGAATCCAGATCCCAGCACCCACATCAGATGGCTCACAGCAGCTTGACACTTCAGTTCCAGGGGATCCGATGCCCTCTTTTGTCTTTTACAGGTGTTGCCCTTGTGCAGAAACCCACAGACATATAAACATATGTACACAATTAAAAAGGCTGGAGAAATGTTTTGGTGGGTAAGGACATTTTTTTGTGCAAATGTGCATGTCATGGCACATACACAAATCCACACTCATGTCATAGACACACACTACACACGCGTACACACACACACAATAATAATACATTCAAATTTACTTTTTTTTTTTTTCGAGACAGGGTTTCTCTGTGTGGCTCTGGCTCTCCTGGAACTCACTCTATAGACCAGGCTGGCCTGGAACTCAAAGATCCACCATCTCTGCCTCCGAGTGTTGGGATTAAAGCTGTGAGCTACCACTGCCTGCCTTAAACATAGGGGTGGGTTTTGGTTTGTTTGTTTGTTTGTTTGTTTGTTTGGTGGTTGTCATTGTTGTTTTGGGTTTTGGTCTTTGGTCTTTGTTTTTTGTTGTTATTGTTTTGTTTTGAGAAAGGGTCTCTCTACATAGCTTTGGCTGCCCTGTACTCACTCTGAAGATCAGGCTGGCCTGGAACTCAATAAAGTTTTTTAAAGCATATTTTAGAACAAATAAAATAAGATAAAATGTAAAAAGAGGAGGCTGGGAATATAGCTCAAAGGTACAGTGCTTGCCTAGAATATGTAACATTCTAGGTTTTATTATTATTATTATATTTTTAACTTTTTTGGAGTTTGAACTTCACAGTCTACAGGCTTCTTTTGGCATGGACCTGTCTTACTGACCTATCATGTCACTCTGGGTGGGGACAGGATAGGATGGTGGAGACTTTGATACCCAGATAACCTTGACCCCGGCACTGTGCTCCTCCTCTGCACTGTCTGGCTGCGCTTTGGTAGGGCATGTGAATTTTCATGTCCCTCTCCTCCTAGCACCTCGGAAGTTCTCTGCTGCACCCTGAAACAGGAGCCCCATAATGAAGGCCCAGGGTGTCCTCTGGATCCTACTTGGATTGCTGCAGTGGCCAAAGCCAGGGACAGGTGAGTCCGTGGGCAGAGGCCTGGGGGGAGGAGTGCTTGCGTTAATCAGCCCTAGTGGGGCAAGGCTCCAGCTCCCAGCAAAATGCTCTTCTGGCACCTCACCTGTCCCAAACCCGGTAGGGTCAAGGAAAGGAAGCCAGGGAGGAGACCTGGGGACCCGAAAACAAAACTTAAGGGCAGCTTCCTGGAGAAGGAACACACAGAATGAAGATGAGAGGAGGGAGGCCTGGGTTTTGTTGAGAAACAGAAAAGAACAAAGTTACAGAATTAATTGCCGGAGGAAGAGCACCAATTCCAGGCAATAAAATTAAAATGACAATGAGGCTCTGGGTATGGGAACACTTGTCTGTATTTCCAGAACATGGGGAGCTGAGGCAGAAGGATCATGAGTTTGAAGTCTGCCTGAGCTATATAATGTGTTAGAGGCCATCCTCCAATAAATAGCAAATCCCTGCAACAAACCAAACAACCTACCTTCCTAGATTCAAATCTTAGCGCCTCCACTTCCTAGCTGTGTAACTTGAAACAGCTAACATGACATCTGTAACAGAAAGCTAATGAGACACACCTTACAATGTTTTTGTGAGGATTAAGTAAGTCAAATGTGTCACTAAGAATGATGTCTGGGACGTAGTTAAAATAAACATTGGCAATATTTCAACAACAACTAACTATGCTGTGAACCTGGTAACCTAGTGTCTCTAGAGTCTACTTGTTTGTCTGGCTGAGACAGGGTCTTACTATAGCTCTGGCTGTCCTGGAATTCACTCTGAAGACCAGGCTGGACTCAGAGATCCACCTGCCTCTGCCTCCAGTATTCTAGGATTAATAGTGTGGGCCACTATGCCTGTCTAAGATTCCCTTTACTGAAAAGGGAAAAACTCATTCTCCTTTAGCTATTTGTTTGTCTGTCCATCTCTCTGTGTGCCTGTGTGTCTATGTGTCTGTCTGTCTGTCTGTTTGTGACAATATCTCACTTTGTAGCCAGAATGGCCTGGACCTGTGTAGTTCAGGCTGGTCTTGAACTTGTGGTGATCCTCCTGCCTCAACATTTTTGAATACTGGCATGAGCCATTGTGCTCAGCTGCCTTATTGTTGTGTGACTATTTCTCATGCACCAAATAGGGCAGTAATAATGGACCAAAGAAACTATCCCATTAAAATCTAGCTCAGTAAACCAGTGAGTTTACTGGGGTCACTTATAACAATGTGGGTGAATCAAATGCAGCTACATCCCCAAAAAAGCCCATCCTTAGCATGAATGACTCACACAAGCTGTGTGTCTGGAGCTCCCTGCTGAACTTGCAGGCAGCTTGGCTGGATCGAGGGTCTCTTCTTCCTTACAGTTGCTACTGCTTATAGAACCTTCAGAGAGGAGCCTCTTGCATTTTAGGCAGTTTTAGGAGTTTCTGAGACTTCTAAATTAGTTTACTTTCTACGTCTTAGTAAGAGGCCTCAGGTTGGAGGAAATTGCTACATAACACTTGGGTATCCTTCAACATATTTTCCCCTCTAAAACCACCCAATACTAATCTATCAGAGATTACAAGGGTGGGTTGCTCTTACAGAAGACCCATGCTCTGTTCCTAGCTCCTACACTGTCACCGCGACCACCAGTAACTCCAGTTCTAGTATGTCCAAAACCTCCACATGCACATACCCCAAACCTGGCACAGCCACATCATTTAAAACAATAAAAATAAACCTAAAACAATCGTAACTTGTTTAATTACCTGTCTTTACCCCTACACATGTGGTCACTCTCCCTGCTCTTCGTTCTTTGCCACCACTATACCACAAGCTACCTCCCTCTCTCACCGCTATGTTGTCTGCCCCTCTCCATCCTTGCACCTTGAAAATCCATTTCCATAAAGCAGCCCGAAGAACAACCTTAGGATGGTGTCTTAATCTATTGCTGTGAGTAGACACCATGACCAGAGCAACTCTTATCAAGGAAAGCTTTTCACTGGGGCTGCTTTACGGGTTCAGAGGTTTGGTCTGTTATCAGCATGGCGGGAAGCATGGCGGCACACAGGCAGACATGGTGCCGAAGGAGCTGAGAGTTCTAATCTTAATCCGCAGGCAGCTGGAAGAAGAGAGAAAACCAATGGGCCTGGCTTGGGCTTCAGAAACCCTACAGCCCACTCCCAGTGACACATTTCCTTCAACAGGGCCACAACTGCTCCAACAAGGCTGTACTTCCTAATCCCTCTCCCCGATGACCAAGTATTCAAATATATGAGCCTATAGAGGACATTCCTATTTGAACCCCCACAAACACCCGCCTAGCCCAGTTTCTCTCCTGCCCATCATCTGGCCATGGCTCCCCAGTGCTCATAGACAATCCAGCCTCCTTTTCCAAAAGGCAATGGTCTGGCTGCCTCATTTTCCTGCTCTACAAGATGAAAGTGCTGGTCACCCTTGGCATCAGATGGAGACCTGGGAGCATTAGGAGATGGTGACACGAACAGCGGGAGGTTCAGGAACAAACAAAGCTGGGTTGTTGGGCTGACTCATTCTCTCCTCCTGCAGCCTCCTCCTTGCCCCTGGTCATGGACTCTGTCATCCAGGTGCTTACTGAGCTTGAGCAAAAGGTGCTGGTGACCGAGGCCAGAGGCACAGCCTCCGGATGGATTCTGTCAGCCAAGAACTCCAGCCCCCACAATTCCCTTCACCAGCACTTGCTGCTGAAGGCACCAAGCCACAACACTACGGAGCCAGATCTCCACTCGCTGAGCCCGGAGCTTCAAGCCCTGCTTTCTGAGGTGGCCCGACATGACGTACAGGATGGGCAGGAATACGGAGTGGTGCTGGCACCTGATGGCTCCACTGTAGCTGTGAAGCCTCTACTGGCTGGGCTCGAGGCTGGCCTGCAAGGGTACGGTGTTGCCAGCTTGCCTTCAGCTTGCCTGTCCATCCCCTGTGAGACGGGAGACACTGGGGCCATCTGGCCAGGATTCATGAATGCCTCCACAAATGCCTCCTCTCCAGATACTGAAGCTGCTTTACCAAGTGGCAACGCCAAGACCCCCACCACTGTCCCCAGACTCCTGGCAGTCACTCTGGCTGGAGACTTGGGTCTGACCTTCCTCCACAGTTCCCAGACTCGGAGTCCTCCCGGCCTGGGTACTGAGGGTTGCTGGGATCAGCTTTCTGCCCCTAGGGTCTTCACACTGTTGGAGCCGAAGGCATCCAGGCTCACCATGGCTTTCCTCAATGGTGCCTTGGATGGAGTTCTCCTTGGGGACCACTTGAACCGGGTTCCTAGGCCCCGGCCACCCCTCAGCCACCTGCTGAGAGAGTACTATGGAGCTGGGGTGGGTGGAGATCCAGTGTTCCGGAGCAACTTCCGAAGGCAAAATGGGGTTGCTTTGATATCGGCCCCTACCCTCGCCCAGCGGGTATGGGAGGCCCTTGTTCTGCTGCGGAAGCTGGAGCCAGGACATTTGCAATTGCAGAACATGAGCCAAAAACAGCTGGCTCGGGTAGCCGCCTTCGCGACCCAGGAGTTTACGGAGGCATTCTTGGGTAAGGGCCCAGGGAAGCCCGGGGGGGGGGGGGGGGGGGAGAAACAGCGTGGTCTATAGATAGGGACAGCCAAATGGGCAAAGAAATGCTAGAGTTGATCCTTGAAGAGTAAATGAGAGTTTATCCAATTTAAATTTAAGAATAAAGGGGGACTGAAGGCGGAGTTCAGTTGGTAGCGTGGGAGCCTAAGACCCTGCACTCAGTTCCTACCTGCATAGTAAACCATGCAGAGTGGTGCATGCCGGTAATCCCCGACCTTGAGGGCAGAGGGCAGAGAATCAGAAACTCAGGCTCATCCTTAAATATATGTCGAGGGTAGCCTGGGCTTCATGAGACCCTGAACTACAAACACACACACACACACACACACACACACACACACACAGACAGACCCTGACCTCCACCCCCTCACCCACCCATACAAGAGGTGGCACACAATTGGAAGTCAACACGTGAGGGCTGATTTTTTTTGGTACCTGTTTATTGAGACAATAAACATACATGGGCTATGACTACATAGCGCCAGCTGGCCTTGAACTTGAAAGCCCGCTTCCTTAATCTCTCAAATTCTGGGATTAATAGGGGTGCACCACCAAACTCACACTTTTAGGTTTTCCTCTGGAAGTAGCAGGACACATCGTGGAGTCTGTCTATCTATCTATCTATCTATCTATCTATCTATCTATCTATCTATCTAATCTACCTGTCTATTATCTGTTATCTATATTTCTATCATCTGTTATCTTTCTATCATCTTTCCACCATCTATCTTGTCTGTCTGTCTATCTACCCCATGTATGCCCTCTGAGCCATCTCCCTGGCCTAACGCTAGACTCTTGCCAAATCCTAAAGGCCAGAGGGATGCCCACAGGTTCATTTTAGCAGAGACTCCGTCTTGCAGAAAGAAATGCTTGGTGATCAGAGTGTGATGTTCCCTTGCTCCCAAAGGCTGCCCAGCCATTCACCCCCGCTGCCGCTGGGGAGCGGCACCCTACCGAGGCAGGCCAAGGCCTCTCCAGCTGCCCCTCGGATTCTTGTTCGTACATCACACCTACGTGCCAGCGCCGCCCTGCAGCACGTTTGCTCGCTGCGCCGCCAACATGCGCTCCATGCAGCGTTTCCACCAGGATGTGCGCTACTGGGATGACATCGGCTACAGGTGGACTTGGGGGACCCAGCCTTGCCCACTGGGGGGGGGGGGGGGAGGACCAGCCTTGCCCACTGCGGGGGAGGGGGGGCTGGAAGGCGGGGAGTAGAACGAGAGGGTAGGAGCTTATCGTGGATGTAGTTATGAACCAGGACATAGTGGAGATGAAGGGAGGGGTCCAAGATTGGGGTGGGGCTGAGTTCTTAGGAGTAGCTTCAGAAAAGGAAAAGTTTGTTTTGTTTTGTTCCTCTTTGTTTGTTTTGTTCGAGACAGAGTTTCTCTGTGTAGCCCTGGCTGTCCTGGAGCTCTGTAAACCAGCCTGGCCTCAAACTCCTGAGTGCTGACTGTGCCACCACCGCCCGGAAGCTTTTTTTTTTTTTTTTAAGAGTCAGGGTCTCAGCCAGCCTGTAGCTCGCTATGCGGAAAAAGCTGGTCTTGAATTCGTTGAGTTCTGCCTGATTCTTTCTTCTGAAAGCTATGGTTAAGGCATTCTGCACCGTTCTGCAAGAGAAAGCGCTTTCTGGGTTGCACTTGGTGCTCAAACGACACCGAATTGAATAAAACAGAGGCAGTGTGCCTCACGCGGTGTCCTGTGGCACAGGAACAGAGCCGGGGGGCGTGTCCAGGTACAGGGGCCGAACCGCCCGGCTGAACCTACCGTCCCATCCACTCCGCAGTTTCGTGGTAGGTTCCGACGGCTACGTGTATGAGGGTCGCGGCTGGCACTGGGTGGGCGCGCACACGCGCGGCCACAACTCCCGCGGCTTCGGCGTGGCCTTCGTGGGGAACTACACGGAGTCGCTGCCCAGCGAAGCGGCGCTGAACACGGTGCGAGAGGCGCTCCCGAGCTGCGCGACGCGCGCGGGCCTCTTGAGGCCGGACTACCAGCTGCTCGGCCACCGCCAACTAGTGGCCACCGACTGTCCCGGGAACGCGCTCTTCGACCTGCTGCGCACTTGGCCTCATTTCTCAGCGGTGGGTCTGCCTGTCCGTGTGCCTGAGCTTAGCCCGCCACCCCTCCAGGCTTGAATCAGGTCCAGCCTTCAGCTGCAACCTTGGAGCTCACTTCATGACTTGCAGGCACCTCACTGGTGGTGGATCCCTTCTGGGCAATCATTGGCAGCTGTGTTGGTCAGCCTGGTCCCCCATCTTGCCTCCCAGCAGCTGTTTAAGCTTCTCTAACCAGCCTTGATGGAGTGACCCTAACTTTTTTTGGAGGGATGTTTCAATTCATAGGAAATTTCTATACAACACTAAAGTAATCGTGAATTGTAAGTTTACCCTTTTTTAAAAGATTTATTTGATTTTTTTTTATTTGTATGTGTATGTGCCTGCATGCATGTATGTGCATTTCATGTGTGTCAGCTCCCAAGGAGATTAGAAGTGGAAATCAGATCCCCTGGAGTTTATAGGCCCTTGTGGACCATCTGACATGGGTTCTGGGAACAGAACCTGGGTCATCTGCAAAGGCAGCGCATGCTCTTAACTGATAACCATCTCCCCACCCCCCAGCTTCACCTTCTTTTGTAAGGCAGGCATGGTGGTGAACCGCTTTAATCCCAGCACTTGAGAGACAGAGGCAGCCAGACCTCTGAGTTTGAAGCCAGCCTGATCTACAGAACAAGTTCCAGGACAGCCAGGGCTACACTGAGAAACCCTGTCTCAGAAAAACAAACCTTCTTATCTAGTGTCTGACTGCTTTCCTGACTCTCAGTAGTAGATGCCTGCCTCCCTAGCCCCACCCCTGCCTCCCAAGCCCCTCACCTGTCCCCCTAGCACCAACCCCTGTCTCTCAAGCCCTGCCCCTGCCCCCGAAATATGTAAGAGCCAGGAACTCCTGAGATGTTTTGGAACTGAAGTTTCTATCTCCTCTCTTCGAGGCCCCATCACGATTGTGGCCTGATGCTACTCAAACCTCTCATCTCTCTCAGCTGAAGATCAATTTGTCTTAGGTCCTTACTGGCAAACTTATAACATCTTTTATTAATTTATGACAATACCCAAGGCAAAACCCTCCTGCCTGCCCTGCCTTACCCCAGGCCACCTAACCTAGAACTCTTTCCAGCCTGAAGCCTGAAGCCTTCTGCTCATACACTAACCTAACCTGTGACTCTTCACCTAAATGAGTCTGTCTGCATTCAGTCCAGACCCTAGCCCTGTGTTGCTCTCCTCTGCTCATCTCAACCCTGAGGGCTCTCGATAGCCTTTGACTCCCTGATCCTGCAGACTCTTACATTAGCACAGTCTAGACCTGGCCAGCACAGCCAGCCTAAAAGCCTCACTCGGCCTGACTTCCGGCACTTCCTAACCACGCCACGACAGTCACATTACTCGCATCTGTTCTATTTATGAAGCAAAGTCTTGAGGTCTAGCCCAGGCTAGCCTTGAACTTGCTGGCCTCCACCTCACCATCCTCCTATCTCTGCCTCAAGTGCCGAGACTGCAAGCTTTCCAAGTGTATCACATCCACAACTGCTACTTTTTTTTTCTTCTTTTTAATGTGTGTATGTGTGTGTTTGTTCTTATACCTGTGGTGTTAAAGACAACTTCTGGTGTTATCCTCAGGAAAGCTGTCTGCCACCTTTGAGACAGGCTTTCTCATTGGCCTGAAGCTCATCAAACAGACTCATTAGCCCTAGGGGTCTTCCTGCCTCCGGATCCCCAGTGGGACTAAAAGTGGGACTAAAAGTTACCACTTTGCCTAGCATCTTCATGTGGGTTCTGGGGCTCAAACCCAGGTCCTCACATTTGTAAGGCAAGCACTTGGCTGACAGAACCATTCCCCAGCCATTGTTTTGATTTTGAGACAAGGATTTCCATCCCCCAGGAGGGATGATCTTGAGCTCCCGGTCCTTCTGACCCTCCAGCTTTTGCTTACCTATATCTTGCCACTCTTTTTCATTAAGCTATTTTCTATCTGCTCTTGCCTGCAGACAGGTTTGAGTTTGATTTGGTTTGTTTTGTTTTAATAGGGACTTGTGCTGGGTGCGATGGCACACGCCTATAATGCCAGCAGAGGCAGGCAGATCTCTGTGAGCTCAAGGGCAGCCTTGTCTACAAAGCAAGTCCAGGACAGCCAAGGCTACACAGAAAAACCCTGTCTGAAAAAAAAAAAAATAGGAACTTGTTGTGTAACCTGGATTAGCTTTAAGAAAGAAAGAAAGAAAGAAAGAAAGAAAGAAAGAAAGAAAGAAAGAAAGAAGAAAGAAAAAGGAAAACAAGAACAAACACAGGGTTTCCACTCTGTAGCCTCAACCTCACAGAGATCTACCTTCCTCTGCCTCATAAATGCTGGGCTTAAAGGCTAGAGGTCTGCCACAGCCAGCCCAAGGTTAGTCTTCAACTCCCTAGATCATTTGGCCTCAGGTTCCCCAGTGCTGGGATTGTAGGTGTTTCCCCTCCACAGCCAGCTCCAGTCAGCCCTGTCCCCACTCCTTCACGTTAGACCCCTGTCCTATTCCAAGTTTCCATAGCAAGGAGGGAAGACCCAATCAGAAACATACCCTAAATCTCATATTCTCTTATTTCTCCTAGGATAAAAACTAAGAACTGCTTTGAGGGACCCTTGGAGATCCAGGAGGCACAATCCCTGATAATCCTTTGAGCAGCCGCAGACCTCCAATGAAGAAACCTTGGAAAGGAAATCTCTATGAACATCGTCTTTGGCTTTGCTCAAAAGCCAGCTCAGAGACCAAAAAGCAAGCAAAGTGGGTGTGGCTCAGTGGTAGAGCGCCTAGTTAACAAGCAAAAAGCTTTTTGTTTTATTTTGTTTGTCTCTGACTTTTGAGACAAAGGGTCTCTCTGTGTAGCCTTGTCTGTCCTGGAACTCTGATCTGGAGACCAGATGGGCCTAGAATGCACAGAATCCACCTGCTTCTGTCTTCTGAGTGCTGGGATTACAAGCAGATGCCACCACTGGCCAGCCAAGGCTCTTGATCCCTACTCTAGCACTACAAAATAAATAAAGCTAGGTATGGGGGCTCAGACTTATAGCATTTGGGAGATAGAGGAAGGAGGATTTCTTTGAAGTTGAGGGTATTAGGACTGCCACTGCATGATAATGAGTGCTGGAGTCAGAAAGACAAAAGCGGTTTTATGACCTTACAAGTTCAAATGCCAACAAAAATGGCAAATGTGCCCCATTAGGAGAAAAATGATTATTTTTTAATGGCCCTAATCAAAAGTCCTTTGCTGCCTGTTGCCTAAATTTCATTATCCATATCTTTCCCCCTTTTTTCAATGTATTCTCTTAGTCATGATGTAGCAAACTGCCCGTACCCTCCCATCTTGAGACAGATAACAAACTGAACCAGGCATGGGTGCCACATGCCTGTAATTCCAGCACCCAGGAGGCAGAGACAGACAGATCACTGTGAGTTTGAGGCCAGCCTGGTCTACAAAGCATGTCCAGGACAGCCAAGGCTACACAGAGAAACCCTGTCTCAAAAAACGAAAGAAAGAAAGAAAGAAAGAAAGAAAGAAAGAAAGAAAGAAAGAAAGAAAGAAA